CCAGTTTGATAATATTGAGATTCTCATCGTTGATGTTATGGTTGTAATTATATTTGTTCAAAGCTACAACAAAAGGCCTTAGTCTATTGAAGTACCTACATGTCCTACATTTCAGAAAGGAAATTATCTGAAATGTGAAAAAAACAGAAGAATATTGAGAGATCAGTGATTGTTGTTTGATCAATCGATTATTCAACAAGCTCCTGTCTTACAAGTGAGTATTCTTGCTGCAATCAATTTAAGAATCTGAAATTGGTTAACAGAAATAGCTCTACTGGTCATATTAAACAACTTTTGTTTGGGCTCAACAACATTAAGTCCTTAATAAAAGGAATCAACCTAAATTATCTGAATGCACTATAATGGGAATTTCAGGAATTTTTTAATTAGTCCTCAAATTGATTTATACTAAATTCAAGACGAACTTGCTAATTAAACATAAATTATGATGATGCAATTGACATGGTGGTGTTTGAGGTAGAGTTTAATGATAATTATTTTTATTTGGTCATAGGAAATGCAAGGGAACCAATGAAAGTAATTTGAAGCTTAAAGTATTCCTTGAAGGTGGAGATCCATAGATAGCTAAGATCTACCAAGCGGTTTTTGGGCTGATCCTTTGACAAGGCTGCTTTTATGTGGATCGTATAAGTGATTTATATGTTAATACATGATAAGTTAAAATATTCTTTGGAAAACAAAAGATGTTGGAAATAAGTATATGAAATTGGTTCATTATATAGCTGTTTTCGTGAGGATTGTGAAAAAGAAGGCCAATTAGCTGAGTTTGGAGGACAGATTTTCATTAGCATGGGGGGGGGGATGGGCGACTCTCTTAGATGAGGACATTCAAAATAGATATGTGAGACATTTTGATAAACATTTTTTATGAAGATTATGAAAATACAATCTACTTTAGTGATATTAATATCATGCACAATAATGAAGTTTGTTCTCTATTGTCACATTAGTAAAACTGAAGTTTAGGAAGCTTTAAAAAAATAAAGTGTGGAAAAACAATAAAACCTGAAGGTATTTTAATAGAAGTGTGGAAATGTTTAGAAAATCTGAAAAAAAATTTAGCACAAAACTTTTTAATATTATTTTAAAAACTAAAAAGATATCTGATGAGTGGAGAAAGATTATATTGGTTCACATTTTTAAGAATAAAGAAGAAGCACAACAGTGTGCAAATTATAGAGAAATTAAGTTGATGTGTCACACATTAAAAGTATGGGAGAGCAATAGAACAAAGATTACAACATGATACAAAAAATTTCTCAAAATCAGTATGAATTCATGCCGGACAAACCTACTATAAAAGCTACACATTTATTGAAAGATTTAATAGAGAGGTACAGAGAGCATAAGGAAGATCTACATATGATTTTTGTTGATTTAGAAAAAAAATATATGATATTGCTTACATTTAAGTGATTTAGAAAAGTACTTTAGAGAGTTCTAAAAAAAATGTTGATACTGCTTACATTTAAGTCATTAAAAATATGTATACTAGAGATGTTATTTGTGTTCAAACACAAGGAGAATTAACCAAGTATTTTCCTATTTCAGTTACATTACATCAGGAGGGATCGACTTTAAGCATATATCTTTTTGCTTTAGTTATGGATGTTTTTACTAGAAATTTACAAGATGTAACTTGGTGTATGTTTTTTACTGATAATATCCTTCTTGTGGATAAGACTGGGGAGAGAATTCGAAAAAAAAAATTGAATTATAGAGATCAACTTTAGTGTATAAAGGCTTTCATTTTAGTATATCTAAAACTAAATACATTAAATATATTTTAATAGTAGTAGATCTAGTGGCGGGGTTGTAACTAAGGGTGATCATTAAAAGCAGTGAACTTTTAGATCTCTCAGGTCTATTATTCAAAGTGATAGTGACATGGATGGGGATTTTTTTGGTAGAACTCAAGTTTAATGGTTTAAGTGGAGGAATGCATCGAGTACTGTTGGGTGATAGAAAAGTACCAATTAGATAAGGAAAATTTTATAAGATGGCAGTGAGACCAGCAATGCTTTATAGCACAGATTGTCAGTTTATAAATGTGAAGCATAAAATTAAGTTAAGTATTGTTGAGATGTGAGATGAGAATGCTCGAGAATGCTCGAGTGGATGAGTGGCTTTACACTTAGAGACCAAATGCAAAATGAATATATATCTACAAAAGAGATTAAGTTGCTCCAGCGGCATGCAAAATCATAGAGTCGCATTAGATGATTTGGTCACATGAAATGTCGATCATTTGATGGCCCTACTAGGAAAGTAGATGTTTTAGATTTGACTTACGTTGAGAAAGGTTGGTAAAAAGACTTGAGCATAATTTATAAAAAATGATCTTAATTTTTTAGAATTAAATAAAAACAGTGGAGAAAAAATATTCATGTAGTCGATCCCACTTAGTGGAATAAAGGCTTCTTGTTATTGTTCTTGTTGTTCAATAAATTTTCATTAAAAATTTTATGATATTTATAACATTACGCACAGAAAAAAAAATAAATTACAATAAATGTAATTTAGTCATAATTATTAACTTTCTGCTTTCTTTGGCTTGGATTTTAATGACTTGACATGGTGAGATACTAATCATGATAGAACGCTATGGGCCCCACTTGAGTGATTTGACATTATGAGCCCAAACATAATAAAAACTTTGGCTCACATTACACATTTTATATGTAAATTATTACCTTGCAAATAACTTTCACCTCAAATTCCAATGAAAAATAGCATAAGAAAATAACAAAGTAAAATATACTAAAATCAATGTCTACTAGTGGTCATGAATCTGATAATTACTCTATATTGAACTTATCCTATGTCATAGGATTAATCCCTTGTCCTTGCTCCTTGCTTCCTCTTTTCATCAATATTGTGGTTTGGATTGTTTACAATCCAATCACCATCACAACTGGGACAATAACAAGAACTTCCTTTCAAGGTTGGACCTTTGCTCCAATTATTATGAGGCAAATTAAATATGAGTTCAATTACTTCAAGATGAATCAAGCATAAAGCAGATCATTCTCTGAGCTAAATAGGAATTGTACTGATCTATTTTGAGCCAGATTTCAAGTCTCTTACTGGCTTCTTACCGTCTTCGAGCAAAGGTCGCCAAAAACCAGAATTGATTTTAAATTTTAAACATCACTGGCCCTGAAGCCTATTAAAAATCTAGGTTCCATTCTTAATAGTTCCACATGGAAACACATAATAAATTCTTCTTTAGATTATTTTGCCAATGATGATAATCAGTCCAAATGTAGATATGCTCTTTGCTATATTAAATCATATACACCACAGGCTTTGAGGATTAGATGCATGAGCTTTAGCATTTCAAATAAATTAATGGCAGGGAGGACCTCATGCTGGCATTTCAGCAATATCATAATGAAGACATCAGCATAGGAAAAAAATTATAATATCATTCCATTTTTGCTAAGCTCTAAATTGGTTTTATTGAAATGGACAACTCCAGCTGAATTACCATCATAAAAGCAAAGATTAAACCTTATACAAAACACATCTATTTTAAAGGAAGTTAAGTAAAAGAATTGTGTTTATCCAGCATAAACTAGTGCAATTCCACATGCAGTGCTGAAAAAAAAAATTAGCAAGATTCACCATAGTTTCAATAGCATTACAGATTATTCATATGCTTGAACGGGCATATTTCAAGGTGTTTCTATGGATTTTATTTTTGTGGGCGCGGGGGAGAAGTTAAAAAACTATTTCCTTTTTACACAGATCCTGGCAAAATGCCGTATATATAATGCCCAGTTTTAATAGATTGCTTTTAGGAAATGAAAAATCCTTCTCTGGTGTTTTCCCTGTTGTCCACTTCTCCAAGAACTCAACAGATTCTAAAATCAATAATTCAAATTCAAACATTTGAATGGTTGATGACACAAATATACTAACAGAACTCATGTTGATGAAGCTGAAATTAGCTGAAATAATAAAACCCTTAAATTTCTACTCACACCCTTGTTTGGCTAACATCTTATACGGTTTACTTTGTTAATTCTGTTACTTAACAGAATTTGAACCTCTTAAGATTTTTTTAAGGAGGTTAGAAAGATTATCCGAACTCATTTACTAAACAGATCTTCCATGCTTACTTTAGATTCATGTTCTACATGTGTTGAGTTGATCGAGTGATTAATTGGATTCATAAAATGGAATAACTTAATCAAGTTAATTAGCGAATTAATGAGTTGTTCAGCTGAATTCATCCAAGTTAAATTTGAGTCAAATAATTACGCTAGTGTGTAAGGTGGACCCATGAAAATTTAAACTGCCTCATTTTAACATCTTCTATCATATATTTTTTACCTCAAAAACTTTGAATACCCAACAGAGTCAATTATTCCAACATAACCAACTATCTAGTTTAACCTTCCCTAAAAGAAGGATTTCTTAGTTACCATTCCGAGAGTGTGAATTGTATCCTTTTTTGGAATATAATAGAAAAGTTAATGAAGTTTCAGTTTCATATGTAATAATAGTGGTAGAGGCCACCTGACTTTTTAGGGACTACTCAATCTGATCATATATAAAAGAATGAAAAAGTTAATGTAAGCCATAATATAGCAAGTTTTGTAGGCTAGTAAGTGCAGGAAACATAAAAGTAAATAAATCTTCTCTGTCAGTTTCTATGAATATCTATCTACAGAGTTTCCAACATCATATTCAAGCTCTGCTGCTAATCTATTAAGATAAACTATCAATTGTCATCTACAAGGCAGAAACGAAGGAAAAAAACACCAATAAATACAGAATATCTTTCTGTAAAGTGAGGAATAGTTGCGCAATGATGAAATGTTTAAGAGAATAAAGAAAAGTACCCAAAATTTATGTCACGTTACTGAATTGTAATCCTAATTCAAGCGGTAGAAAAATCATTCCCAATTTATTTCAAAGATTCAAAATTTTAAGGCTGTTGAGTTGTGATTGATTTATAAAGGAAAACTTACATTTTTGATGGAAAGAAAGATTTCTTGTACTCCAATGTTTCCGAATAAAGCCATGCTATAAATACAGGGATAAAGCCCAGCATAAAAGAAACCTGCATAAACAAATCAGCTGCCAAAATCGAAACAGAATAGAAATAATCTTGAATCAAATTTAATAAATTTAACAAGTTAAAAGAGCCTTAATGCACAAGGTTTTAAAATGTACTTTTCATCGGTCGGGCATGCTGCAAGAGTTTTAATTCTGAAACCTTTGGCAGATTTTGTATTTCATTTTGCACTTTGACAGTTGCCTTACTCAGTTATGGATCTTAGTTTCAGTTTTATTAACAATTGTTAAAAGTTCTTCAAATACAAATAATCAAAAACGGCCACCTTAATCAGATGGTCCCAATGCCTACATAATAAATTGGGCATTTAATAAAAAAAAATCCCCAGCATGCACAAAGCATGGGAAAGGCATGGCTGTCCACCTTAAACGAGCATACTTGCCAACTCATCTTTGTAAATTGATTCAACAGAATAATTCAAAGTAGAGATTAACAAGTTTATTTATTTGATGCTAACAAGTAAGCTCTCTTGCATTAGTCGTATAATAACATTTCATTATTAACGGAATTAGTTTCAGATAGATCAAAATTGTCAGTCAATCATTTTTCAGCTTTCAAAGCATTTCTTTTTAATCTATACATCAATCAATTTTATTATAATCAATAAAACACATTTTATGACCTATAATGGTCGTTAAAATTTATAAAATTGCTTTAAACAATTTGAATTGAGTCAATGCATTGGAATTAATGCACAAGTTGAGAAGAGAGTGACACCGTTTTAGGGTTCCAAGAAGATGTTTCTAGGATTGCATCTAGCAGGGAGGTACTGTAGGATGGCAAAAGGAAGAGAATATGTAAAGTTACTGGAGATTGGAAGGGGAACAAAAGAGTTTGACTGCTGTCCAGGAGAAAGACAGCAGTTAACATGGCAATAGACTATACTGGCGAGGCATGGAAGCTAAGGGAGATCCACCGCATATTCCCAAAGAAGCTACAAGCACATCACTTGTAAGGGAAAAGTGATAGAGCACTCCTTAGGACAGAAAATCAGATAACATGATCTCTAAATACATAAAAACAAAACTAAAAGTGTCCAAACCAAGTTTAACAGCATATTTATATCTAGGAAACAAAGATACCTAAATAATAACCTAAATAAGGCAGCTAATAGGTTGGTAATGAACCGGCCAGCAAAACAGAATACTAATTCACTGGACCAGCAAGAGAATAAAACAGGCTGGACCAATCTGGATGGGAAATCTGGTTCCCATCCCACAGGTAGATGTCACATCAGGGAGACTTTGCAATACTTATTTAAACTAATATTTCAAAAAATATTATTGCACTAGAAGTAATTTATATGACCATTTGGTAAGATTTTTTTTAATACAATAGATAAAACATTTCAATAACTAATGCTTACTCTATGATATAAGAAAGCTTAAGTCACTTTAAGAAGGTGTTAATCACTAGCATACTCTTTTAAATTTCGGAAGAATGAAACATACATTGTTAAGATTAAAAGACCTAGGAAAGGATGACTCGCCTTCTTATAAATATTATGCGTCCTTTTAAGAGAAAGTATGAATTCACGATTTGGAGCAATAGTGGTGGATCATTTTCTTAGAAATATAAAGAAAATAAATTATTAGCAATAAAGGCTGTAAAAATTTCCTTTTTAGCTCAGTATTATAACGAGCTAATAATGTGAGTATAACAAGGACAATTTTCTAGAATTGCTAGAGTTAGAAAATTGTAAAAGATCAAACACATATAACATAGAGCCTAGTGTTTCGTTGAATGTATATCAAATTCATTGAAATATGAGTGATAAGGGGCCAGCAACGAAAATGACAAACAACAATGGAGGCAACAACGATGCAAAGAACAACGACATTGATGGGTGGTGGAGATGGCAAGCAGTTGACGAGTGGAAGTGGTGGCAGACAGCTAGTACTGGCAGGCAACAAGGCAACCAATTATGGGGAAAACAGGCAATGGATGCAGATGGAACTCATGCGCGAGCTTATAGCACAAAATTTGGAAATCACTCAATATTGATGATTTCCAAAATGTAAGGAAAAGATAAGATTTGATGCCCTTCAAGCATAAAAGAAAAAAAAAGTACTTATTTTATTTTACTTCATACTAAACAAAAAAAAAAAAGTTTGGAAATGCAATGCAACACTGTACTGATGTAGCCGACTAAACATTAATTAGGCTCATAATGTATGATATATTACTTCAAGTAGACTCAATTATCCGCCTTAGTTATGTGGCCCCATATGACTACACCTATAATGTATCTTATTTTGCAGGGGCAAGCTCTTGCCCATTTTAGATTGCAAGCGGTCAAGCATAAATCATGTTTGGTGCGGTTAGGGTGGTATTGAATAACCTTCAAGTTGAATCAAACGAATTTAGAGCGAGCAATCCTTGAGCAAGGCAGATAAAAATTAATTTCAATTTTTATTTAATTAGATTTCATGTTAGTATTGAATGAGCTTTAAGCTTCCAATATTTTATTAACCCTGCATATGTGTTGGGAAATACTGCCATGGTAGCATGTATCAAGTGTGAAATAGTTTATCACAATCTGTTACATGGACCTGAATAAGTTTGCACCATCTCATATGCGAATTAAAAAAATAAGCATAAAACAACATGTATCTTTGAAAAATTTACAAAAGATTAACAAATATGAAGGCAATTGATGTGCCCCTAAAAAATGCAAACGAACAAATCAATAACGTCAAGATTAATGCTGTCATGATCCAGGAGTAATAATGGATGAAAGGAAGATCAACCGTAATGAAGACAATCCAATTAAACTCAAAAAATCAAGCACATATTTCAAAGCCTTCAACAAATCCAACGGTCTGATCTGAATCTCAAACTACACCAATATCAAAGCCAAAGGCCAAATCCCTCATTATTCCAATAGGTATGATGATCTAAAACGAAAATTAGGATAACCTCAAGTGATTTTCTAATGCTGATCACTCAAAGAAACAAATTGTTAGCAATAAAGGGTTATTTTGATCTAGCATGGGTCTCAAGGACCAAATTGTTCAACATTCACCATACATTCACCCAAGTAGGGTAAGAACCCAATAATTCAACACTACAAATACTCATAGGAGGTGTGATGGGACCTACCTCATCTCTTTCGCTCTTTTCTCTATAAGGAAATCTATTTACTTTCAGCTCTGACTTAATCAATGAAATAACTTCCAAATAGAAAATTCCTTCGGTCAAGCTCACATTTTTGGTCAAGTATATAGGGGGCGGGCCCATACAAAATATTGTGTCCCTTAAGAAACTTGACCAGCTCACGATTGCTTTTGGCTCACAACAATCCTATATATTTCAAGGCATGATTTAGAACTTGAAATAGAACTATTAAAAAGACGACATCTTCTCGAAGGCAAGATTGCACAATCGTCTGATGTAGTGAATAAGTAATAACCATGTTAAGTAGTCATGAAAAGGAAGGATGAATGGATGGAATAATAAATGAATCTTAAAACAAATGCCTGAAAGTAAGCCCCACACCATATTTAGATTTCACAAATATATAGACAAACCCAATGAGTTAGGAAACTTACAATGATTATAGATTCATTTCTGGACATGCTAAAATGAAAGGTCATTTTCATGATATACATTAGCCCATAGCAGTACGTCCATAATCCAAGTTCAAGATAGAAGCATTTCGGTGCATTCAACCATATGGCCATCTAAAACTAGTGTATATGAATTGAATTATCGTTGTCACTATTTGAGCCAAATAGCAATGCCTCAATCTCCATGGTGCATTAGGTGGATATGATAATAGTTCATCTCAGTTTTGATGACCTGAAGAACTAAAATTATAGCAGGCAAGACTGGTAGTTTTTTAAATTGGTTCATCTTTCAACATATTATGCAAAACATAGCCTATAGCTATCATGATTAGTCATTTCTCATCCTAAAGGACAATTATACCTCTTTCAAACAGCCATGCGTTTTTATCTTCACTCACATCCAACGTATAGACAATGAATTCTTTGACTTGTCACGGCCCCCATCCTTACCCTCGCCGCATTCATTCATTTTTTGATAAGTTTATCAACAATAATTTACCATATTAATTTTTTTTACACCCTCATAATAGCTGACATATTTGCCAAATACTTACAAAATTATATGTTTGATTCCAATTTATCCGGCGGACACACCACTAAGGCTGGAACGCCATATCATATTAGCATGAATAACAAAATGAGGAGTGAGCAGTTGAAATTAGATAATGATGTTAGGTTTGTATTTTTACGAATGTAACATGTAGAGAATCCCTTCTTTGTGTATTTTTTCTCTCGTCCATTTTATGACCATGCGACTTCTATTTATATAGCATAGTGTAACAATTACATGAAAGAACAACTGTCTTAATAAAGGTGTATGATGGTGTCCGGTACCGGGGTAACATCTCATGTGGCTTAATTGATCCAATAACACCCTCAATAATTGATTCACAAGACAAGTCAATGACTCAATAAGGATGCCAGACTTGCTAAGAGCGAATAAGCTGTGAATAGAGCCCAATTTGTACATTGAATGAATTCATAGTCTCGTCTTTGTGTGAGTTAGCTGAGGGTCAGTGTCGGATTGTCTCATATCGAGTCATCATAAACATGATCTACGCTATTCATTGGGCAAGGTTTTAGTCTTGCTTTTGGTTGATTTTCAGGGAATTGTGAGCCTAAGGCGAATAAATGAAGACCCGTGGTCACCTGAGTTGGTGAAGCACCAACAACAATTAGACCGGCTCGCAAACTAGTTTCGCAAATTATTGGGCCTAGCAACCTGCCATGAATTGGCCTACAGACAGTCTCCTCGGGTTAGGGGATCGGGCTTGTCCTATCCTATTTTTTATATGTACACTATAGAAACAACATTATAGCAAAAGAGGTGGTTAGAGCCTCCCAAATTGAGCTCCAAGGCAATGAACAAAGTACCATTTCAGTATTAAGTGTGCTTACAAAACTAATCATGGGCAGACAAGTCCATTACCACCTAAAGTAAAGTCATCAGTGCATTTTTATCTTGAATAGTTCTGTCTCTATCCACAAAGTGAAGATTATCACAATGCATGCAGCATATCCTACACTTTGCAAAAGTAAGTCTGCACTAACACACAATTCCATTCCCTTGTATACAACTATACTTCATGCCACTTACTCGCAAATCAGACACCAAAGTCATTAGCTTTTCTTGGACCTAACGGTCCTAAGCACTGAAACGAACAATTGATCAAATTTCCGAAGCAAATTAAAAAGAAAATTAAATTTGACATAAAATATACAAATCTTATCAAAATTTGAAGCCAAAAGCTTCAAAACCAACATGTGATCCACTTCACATTATAAAACAAAAGAAAGATCAACAATGCACTTCCCCGTCTCCAGGAAGAGAGAAATTACAACATAAAAGGCAAAGATATTGTCACCTGGCCAGGAGTTAAGGGACCCGATTCAACCATTTTCCTCTGAATTTGCTAAAATAAAGATAAAAGTTCAAAATTAAGCGAAATCAAGCTATTCATAGAGCAAACCCAATCAGAATAGAAATGCAGAGCCTACTTGGAACGGGAAAGAAATCCTCTCTCCTTCCCCGCTCTTGCCCTGCCGCGCTGCTCGCAGTTACCACAAACGGCGAGTCTTCATGAAGAGCTAATCCAAGAATGGGAGGGCGCAATTAATCGTGGATGGTATGGAGAAGATCTGAGGGAAAATGCAGAGCCTACTTGCAACGGAAAAGAAATCCTCTCTCCTTCCCCGCTCTTGCCCCGCCGCGCTGCTCGCAGTTACCACAAACGGCGAGTCTTCATGAAGAGCTAATCCAAGAATGGGAGGGCGAAATTAATCGTGGATGGTATGGAGCAGATCTGAGGGAAGCATGAAAGGAGAAGACAGGAAATGAGTCGCTTTCGGAGAGTTGGTGGGAGAGAGCGAGAGAATACGTTGAGAATTTTGGAGGTTCTCTCCTTCCCAAATTTTCCCTGCGCCAAGAGCCAGCACGGAGCACAGAAATCACGATGAGGGTGGTTAAGCAAGCGAACCGACACTGGCCAACATTAATGCTATAAGTTTGACATGCGCGTCACACCAGATGATATAAGCAGCTCTTCATAATAATAATAATAACAGTAATAATAAGAGGCAAGCATATTTAGCATAAAGATCACCCCAAACTAGCTATTTACAAATACCCCCTTTCATTAATTTTTAAGATTCTCACTCAAAGAGTACGTGATAAAATCCCAACTCATATTTTTCATTTTATTTATCAAATTAGCAATAATTTGATGGTGACACATAAATATAGTAATTTGGTAGTTCAAAAAAATTATTTGAATGATTAGTTTTCAAATATCAATAATATGGATGGTTTATATGTAATTCTCACTAATAATAAATGAAGATGATTTTTTAAGGAAAACTTAATTTTATGTCTTATAATTTAAGCAATTGTGTGTACCTTAAAAACAGTGGTTGAGGCTTTAGTTTCCTATCGTGAGGTAGAAATCGTGCATAATATCATTTGGGCTCGTCTTTCTCTTAAATAAAAAAAAAAATATAAGAAATTGCATAAATATGATTGGTTTTTATTTTCTTAAGAAATAAGGTCAAAAATTTGTTTGAGATCAAAATATCCTGATTTTTTATCAGCACATTTGTCGTGGTCGATATTGGTTCAAGCAATACTCAAATTCTGTTGGGATGGAAATAAAACTTTGTGGTTTTATCAATTAGAAATCTAAATCACACGGCAGAATAGAATCACAGCAATTCTAGAAATTCAAAATAAAATTTTGAATATAAGCACTACAAAACAATCCCAAAAAAACACACCGAGTTTGGGTTGAAAATTCGAGACCAAGAGAAAAACTACAGTCTTACCACTGAACTTTTTTACTATTAAAAATAAAAATTGTATTGAGAAACACACTCAAATCAACTCTCTACAAGCATGGAAACTTACAGAATTTCACTTCAAACCTTCCTCTTGATCTCAAAAGAGAACGCCCTTACTTCGAAATCACATTCCCTACAATTCACCATCGCAAGGAAGCATGCAGTGAAGCATCGCACAAAGGAGTAAGAGCCCGAGGCAGCTCAAATTGAAGACTTAACAATCATGCAAAGTAGAATTACCTTGACGTCATAGCCACGTCAAGCAGCGACATAATTATTTCACGCATTTGGTCTATTGTGCCATCACGAGAGAAGCAGTTTTTGGTGTATTCACGCCACCCAACGTAACTACGCCAGTTTCAGGAGTGGTTATGCCATGCTCAGGCACAAGAGCGACTCTTTGGATGTGCTAGATTTTTGGTATTGTAGATTTCATCTCCTCAACAATCTCTTACTTGGAGACTGATAGCACCTGACACATGTCCACCATATCTGCATCTCCACATGTACCATCTTCATAGCTACGTACCATAGTGTGGCTCAGCCCCATCTCAAACTTCTTCGACTTCTCGATCCCATTCTGCCTGGACTCCAGTTGAAGCCAAGCATAGCTCCAATTACTCAATAGTCACCACATTTGTTAACATATCTGCAAGATTCTGAGTTGTGTATATCTTCTCCAAAAGTATTGCCCATCTTCTATGAGAACGAATAAAGTGATTGTCGGAATCTATTTTTGATGCGACATACACGATACATCATCGTCGAGTGACGCGACACAACATATGAGTTCTACACTATCATAGTCGTGCCCTAGTCGACAAAGCCAAACTGACATTGTTTCTGATATCCTTAAGGTTGACATTTGTTTCTGTGACATGGAGTTTTATCCTGCTGATATGGACATTCCCTTGGTGTAGACTGTCAACTAGAGTACCCTGCACCTTGTTGGAACCTTAAGTTTAACGCCTGGATAGACGAATTTCATGTTGGAATCGCTTTTCTCGACAATAAGTAGATGATTCGACCTCTCAAACTCTTTTGAGACACATTTATTGTCCCTAAAGAGATCTAAGGACCATTAACTGCTCACATTCGATCTTCTGGAGGTCCCATGAGGTCCCTTGGTGAGCTTCTCCAGAAGCCCAATCTTTTTTAGGTCTAGCGTAGCCACGCCTAGTTAGTAGAGTGAACATGCCTAAACCTGGACTCTTGAGAAGTAATTGCTGGGAATCTTGACTATTAATCATGTCTTTTTACATCCTCGTTTCATTAAAAGAAGCATTCATGCTCCTGATGAACTTCTGGCCCTTATAATCCCATAATTTGTACCCAGATTTGTATGAGGTATACTCGGTGAAAGTGCACTTGATTTATTTTGAGTTAAGTTTACCACTTTGTAACTTCATGCTTCTCTAGGTAAATCTTCCTTTAAAAATACTAATGAGCCACGGGTGATCAGATACATTCCATATTCACAATATTTGACCAAAAGTGCCTTGGCAATCCTGCATTCAACCTCACACACATGCACACGTGATACGAACAAAGTGTATTGAAGCATTGATGACTCACGCAAGTATACATGTCGTATCAGTAGCATAAGGAATTAAATTCAGTATATTGATCCCACAGGGAACGAACTGAATCCCGATATAAAAAAAAATTATAGTTTACTACTGTCGATCCAGTTTGATAGTTCAATTTGTTATAACTAAGAAAATGTTTCTATTTTATTGAATTTAAAAACAAACCAATAGAAGATTTTAAGAAATTTAAGTTTTGAAAATTTTTCTCTTGAATTGACCTAGTGGAGAATAAAATTGAAACAATGATTAAAATTTAGTTTCGAACATGAGCTATCATTTTCTTTATCCCCTTCTAGACGTCTAAGAAAATTTGGCTGTCAAGAGTTTAATTTCCTGAAATCCTTGAACAGCCCATTTAAGTACTATCTCCCTAAATTTTCGCATAAACTCAAGAGCAATATTTCTATTCCAATGAGTTTATGTGGCTAACTTCTTTCATTCCAGTAAGTATCTTTCCTAATATCTAAGTTTACAAAGATGTGAACATTCATACTGGTTAGGCAAAAATTAAATAAAACAAACAGGTTAACTAACCACTACTAAGTCAATTCGCATATGAATCACATGGATATTTTCAATTTTTACCAACCACTATTCAATTTAAAATAAAGGATCTACTCGCCCCTCAATATAAAAACCATCAACTCAAACTTTGAATTAAGATAGAAATCATATAAGTTTTTCATAGAAATTCAAATGAAATCTCAAACTAAAAGTGTGCTTATCTCCTTTTTATACAAAGCAAGATGAAGAAATGGAAATAAGTAGTGAATACATCTTTTGATCTTCTCAAATTTCTCATTAACAAACAAAATCAACAAAGCGTTTACATTAGTACCGCTCAAAACAATCACATAATTGTAAACCCTAAAATAAAAATTGATGATGAAAACTAAAATAAACACAAAAGAGATTAAAAAAATGATGGTTACCTCATATTGAAAGGATTTGCCAGTCGAACTAGTTTCCATGAGGTCGGCAGAGGTGAAGAACACCTCGAGCATTGGCGGAGAGGAAGAGCCATTAGAGTCCTAACATCGCAGGAGCGAAAGAGATAAAGGGGAAAGAGCGTAAATGAGCATCTGACGAGATCAAATTTGGTTTAAAGAAGTTAGCATCAGACAACCGACTATAATTTCTGTTGCTACAAGTTTGCGGTAGAATTTTCTGCCGATAATTCATTGTTATTAAGCGAATAATAATGTGATAGACACATCAACTATGTTTTTTGTTGAAAAATATTTTGTGGATGAAACTTTAGCCACAATATATATCCGGCACAGTTTTAGCTACAAAATGAGCATCGAAAAAAATCGATCAGTAACAAACTGTATTTCTGTAGTGTATGATCAAGGTCATGCTTTGCATAGATCAGCTTATTAGCTAGTGATTAGAAAAATGTCACTGACCCTTATGTATTTGGTAAAGAGGTAAGTCATGTTGGGGAAAAAGGTGCAATAACAATTTGCTTATTTTGCACAAGGCTTAATCAATCTGATTCAACCTGTCTCAATATGTTTGGATGAGAACATTCTCAAATTTGTGTGGCATTTTATCTACTTAGATTCATCTCATTAAAAACCATCTTCTTGATTATATATTTTTAGAATAAGAGGCTTGACGGCTTTTGAAGTAATTTTACAGTATTCAAATTTAAATTTAAATATTTAATAAAAAAATCAAAAAAAATCATGAGTGAGCTAATTTATTTTCGTAGGCATATTGTACAAAAATATTCTACATCTAACAACTTTTGTTGCATCAACATGTAGTGCTTTAAAAAAGTTGAAGGCACAATCACGTCCTAAAATTTAATGTAAACTTTCCATTAGAGTGATGAATCAATATTAATATCATCATCATGATTTTGATTGTAAAAAAGCTTCAAACATCATGACACAATTTTAATGTAAATATTTTTAAAATCTGCAAATTGCAATCCTTCAAAATAGTAAATGCTTGGGCTCATGTTTGCCAAATTGAGTTCAAACTATTAACAATAACTGTTGAAATATCCCTAAAAATGTCAAAAAAATGCTCTAGAGTCGCCACAAATATTAGAAAAGGTTTAGAGGTCTATTTTGCATATAATTCAAAATTTAAAATCATATTATATATTAATATTTTTTTCTCTCTCTCTCTTCATCTAACTTGAAGTGATTATTTTAATTTATTTAAAATTTAAAATTAATTTGTAATATATATTAATTTTCAAAATATGATTTTTTAGAATATTCATTAAGAAAGTTTAAAATAAAATATTTGTTTCTTACTCATACTATATAGATATATGTTTAAAACACCAGTAAATCATAATATATTTTCATAGGCTTTGATTTTTCTCGAAAAAGAGACAAAAACTTATCATTTAATTTAGAAAATTGATATCGAGTGCCAAATTGCAACACTTCTTTCTTCAGTGTTCAACCTTCGTTAGAAAGAGAGTTAACTCTAGTTATGGTGAGGAAGAACGAATGTGGTGGGATTTGTGGTTATGGTATGTGGCTCAAACCTTCTTGTGAAAGAAAACTGGTTTTCCCAAATAAATGATAATTTTAATCATTTTCTCTTTACTTTCCTTCTATTTGTGTAGAATATTTTTTATGTTGTAGTATTTTCCCAAATTTTTCTCTCAAAATTTTAATTATTAAGCCTTGCAAAGTTTATTTGTTGAAAATTTTTCATTATTGAATTAAACAATAAAATTATGACAACATTATTTTAAGAGGGTCTTCACTCTAGATTTAGAGTTTTTTTTTTGGTTAATAGCTTTTGAAAGTTTTAAATTATACATTTTCAAATAACTATATTTTGAACCTCTATCCATGTATCATAATCATTTCAAAAACCTTAAATCCCCAATGCCATTTTTTACTCGAGAATTCTTGTAGAACTTGAGAAGTCCTTGAGAATCCTTATAGAATCCCATGGAATCTTTGTTCTTCACATAAACTTTTTGATCTTGGACTGATTTGTATAGGCCTATGAAGGACTTTAGTCAAATCACTTGCCACAATAAGTAGAGTACCAATGACACAAATGACATCAATGATAATATTTAATGCAAAGATCACTGCAATATATGATCCTACTAAAGTATTTTTCGTTTGTAAGTGAAATATAGCTTATGTGATCATAAAGGTTAAGGTGGATAAGTTAGTCAGTAGCCAAAAAGAAATTGATATAGAATAATTGGACTTTGAAAGAAATGTGATTTATTTATATAATAATATTTAAAAATATCTTGCAACTAAATTTATGATCATATAAAGACTTTAGCATCAATGTGTAAATATAAAAGTTACAATGATAAATAATTTAATGGTTTATAAGAAAAAAAAAACAAGATTTTAAAAATATTAGTTATAAGATTATCAACATCATCATCATCAGAAATGAAGTTGATTACTATAATGATTATCATTTAAATTTGATAAATTTCAAACTTTAATTTTATTATGCATATAAAAAAAGAAATATTATATATTTATGGAAAGAATATGCTATCGATTTCTTCAATTAAAATTGGAGAAAGTAAGAAACATAATGATCATTATAAAAACTAATTATTAAAAATGAATATAAGATAGTTGAAATTTAAAGCACAAGAACATGCATAAGATATTATCTTATATTTCTCCACCTTAGATTGTATTACTAGAAAATTAAGGTTCTTTTTACTCAATAATATTTTCAATTAAATATAAATGTTAACAATACATGCAATAATATTATGAAGATTTTTGCTTTTTTTCTTGCCATAAAACTACAAAATACTATGTATTTTAATGCTAACAAATAAGGACTAAATTAGATTAAAATATCACATTGGGTTGAAATCATATAAGATATTACTAGCAAGTAAAAGATAAAACTTGATGGCTTTCTCTTATTAGGAATTTCTAATCAGTTTATTAGGAATATTATTTACAATTCCTCTTTATTTGCTTTCAAATAATACCATAATATTTGTTTCTTATATCATGTTTTATTGTTCATATAATGAACATCCCATCTTTCATCTCATAGTTTTGTGGTAAAGTTAGAAGCCTAAATATTTATTATATGTTGAGAAAAGTTTAATAAACTCTCTATGTTATTATTGTATTTATTTATATTATTAATCTTTCTGCCAAGTTCCTCAAGAAATTTTGCTCTTAATAAAATTTTACAATTTCCTTGCCATCCTTCTGATAAAAAGTCAAAAGCTACTTTGTGTTGATCCGTTTGTTAGCTTCAACCCTTCTCAAAATTACTTAAATAGTGAATTTATTTTTTGTGTTGTTTGCGAGAGTTAATTTTTTATCCTTCACAAATTGTTGAATTTTTTTAAGAAGTTAAGGGCTTGATGATTAGCTCACGTTAACCTTTTGATGAATATCAACCCTTTTCAAATATGTATCAGATGGACATCAATATTTTGCATTCCACCTCAAGGCTGTGTTATTCGAGGGTAGCCTCGAACCCGAGAAACTTATGACAACGTTGCCAACTAAAGTGACAGGCAAGTTCGCACTATATATATAGATATATATATGTATATATTTGTGCTCGTGTTTATGTATGTATGTATGTATGCACATACGTATGCATGTATGTATTGAATTACAAGTAGTTATCATATTATGTTCCCTAGCTTTCTTACTATTCCTTAATTGTTGAATGCAATTTCTTTCATTTTTTCCCCTCTTCCATCTTGCTAACAATGTTATGCCTACTCAACACAAGAAGTTTAACTTTAAAGATAATATTTATGGAAGAGTGGAGAAATATGCTATAGAGTTAATAAGAAGATTATAAAAAGATTTATATTTTTATAGAATGAATTTAATTTATTAGCAAAATAACATTTTGAGATACCTTATAATAAGGAGTTGATAGTTATTATGCAAACATGGAAAATATAATGCTAGATATTATGATTAATTATAAATTAAGAGGTTATTTATCTTAATAATTATGTTACCACCATCATGGAAGAAGTTGTTTATCATCGTTGCTATTATTAAATTTGTGGACTATTCAATCTTTAATTTAATTATATGAAACATGAAAGAAATACTATTTCTTTTATTTAAAAACTATTATTATGATTCACTCTTTCTAAAGAGAGTGATCAAAACTTAAAGCACGCGAGGGAATATGTATGACATTTTATCCCATTTAACTGTTAAACATAGTTTTGAATGATATATAATCAAGCTTGTTTTCAATAAAATAATGTGTCATTTAAAGCATGAAGGTTTTGCATATTCATCTCTCAAGTAACTTATTTTGATTTGATGTTAAAACTAGGGGTGGAACCAGCTTATGCTCGGGTTGGGCAGCAACTCCTAGAATTTGTAATTTTTCTATATAAATATAGTATTTTTGTTGTAAAATATTATTCTTTTTTTGGGTGAAATTAAATTTCATAAATGACTCAAAATTTCTTCATTCGTAGAGAATTCAAAGACTTTGAAAAGTCTAATTTTTTCAGATTTTCTCGATGAACTATAAACATAATGGAGTGACTTCAAAATGATCAATTGGAATAACCAACTGTTTAAAAACCAGGCTAAGCCGGTCGGTTCAACCGGTTCAACCTTGAACCGGCTAGTGGTCTAGTTTTGGTTGGGCTAAAAACTGGTTTCGCATAGAACTGAAAAAAATCGACTGGAACTGGCGGTCAAACTGGTCGACTGGCTAGAACCAGGGGTCGAACCGGTCAACCGATTAAAGTGTAATTTTTTATTTTATGCCACATTTTTATTGGAAATCATGAAGAATTATTTAAATCTTTTAATATTGTTAAGAACTTGTCTTGCTCTAACCATTCTCAGCTTCTTTTTGTTCGTTACATTTCTGTAAAATATGTATGACTATTAGTCAGTTACATTTTATTTTTTATATTTTTATATTTTCTTGGTTATGTTTCCATCTAGCAGACCTTCCAAAATGAATTCATCTATTTTTTATGCCATTTAAGTTATATTTAGTAGTTATTTTTATGATATCATCCACTTTAACCTTGATTCAACCGTCTTCATTCTATCTGATTATTGCATGCAAATTTGTGTGTTGTGCAAAATCATGACCGAGTGGGCCCCACTCTAATAATAAAAAAATATATTTCAATAGTTCTGATTAGAGATCGCACTTAAATTTAAATGCAATATCAATAATCACTCCTCCATTCAACTCAATATCCGGTCAGATTTTCCTAAATTTGAGAAAGACACATCGCTGCCATGACAAATAAGCGTAAGCCTAAGAAGTTTGCAGTGAAGGTGTGTTGACCACTTTAGAGACACACTCTCTCTCTGTTTGGCTATTTTAGTGAAATTTCGTACTTCACCTGAATCAAAGTTGAGAAAACATCAAATTAATATAGAGCATATATTCACCTTTCTGTTTTCATCATCACTCTCTCTCTCCCACCTCCCTTTAATTAGTCTCCGAATAAAACCAACCTTCAATATACATATATATATATATATATATATATAACTCTATCCTGCAAAGACCTACAACTAAAAACATACAGTTCCAATCAAAGATTAAAATTTCATCATAAACTCCATTCAACAGCATTCATTTGCCTTGTTCATCTCCGTCTCCAAAGCCTCCATCTGATTCTCCAAATCTCTCAGCTTCTGATTCATACTCTCAAGCCTTCTCCTTCCTTCCTCATCTGCAACCAAAAGATGCAATCTTTGATTACTTACACAGAACAAAAACAGAGTCAGAGTAATCAAAAACAATATATCAAAATACTCTGGTGAAGTTACTGAAATCAGTATTAGCATGATTACCTAAGCGCGAAATTAACTCCGAAACAGTCAGCTCTTCGCCGTCGGCGGTGGTGGTGAAGGTGGCGGCGGAAGCGGCGCCACGAGCCAGTCCCCGTGATTGAACCTTCTTCGATCCATCTCTACCTCCCGCCATGAGTACTTGATTCTCCGTAATTCTCTGTTGTTCAGTGAGTTGTATGTAGGACTGCTATGTATATAGAAGAGGGAAGGGGGTTTTAAATTCTATCTGCCTTGTTTTCAAAAGGAGAAGAACCTGAGAAGTCTTTGTCTTCTCATTACCAATTACTGTTGTTGGTCACCCTCGGTGGTCATTGGTGTAGTAGATGGGAAAAGCAAACGGTCAACTTTGTTTGTTTTTGGTTTTGAACTTTGACTGCTTAAATTTGCGGTGGAGATCTGTTTTATTTTGATATTTGCGTGCCTACCACACAATATTTATGTATTTACATATATATATATGACACAAAAGTTTGATATTTACATTAGTTATAGCAATTTTGTCTCTTAAAACTATGTATAGAGATCTTTTTAATTTAATGTTAGGGATTTGAATGACTGTATGTAAATATGGTTGTTTAGGGGTTGGATATATAAATGCATAAGAATTGTGTGGTATGTATGTAAATGCCCTTTTTTTTAAAATCAATTTTAGAATTTGGAATTAATAAAAAATAATTTTGATTAGCATGGTACAAACATTCAACACACTCAAAAGGGGGAAAAAAATTAGTAATTACACTATAAGTTTTTACGTGGAAAACTCATAGTGGGAAAAATCACAGTCTGACCCAGGTGAAGAGTTTTGTTATAAAAAAATGATTACAGTTTTAATCACTTATCACACTGACAGAAAAATGTTACTAGGATTATTAAGTTACAACATTGTTGTACGGATGAGTTTATCGTAAAAACGGGCAGCGAAAGATAACAATCGGTGGTCTGCGGTAGGTGGTGGTTGGCAACAGTTAGTGGTGGTTGACGGAGGTCAACAGTAGTCGACGGAGGTTGGCGGTAGTCGATGGTAAATGTGGTGTGGTACTTCAGTTCATTCTCAAATCTTCAAGTTTTTCTCAAGTCTCAAGCTTTTTTCTCCCATCTCATGAAAGGAGCGAGGGCTCTATTTATAGAGTTTAGTGTACAATTAATACAAGAATATGAACTACTTTGATTAAACGGCTCGGAGGGCTTCCCTTGATCAGACGATGTCCGAATGGAGTGTCTTGGGGACGCTCGATTCAACTATGAACTCGTTGGATTTGACATTCATTTGACCTCTCAAATGCGTCCGAAAAACTTCTATACATGGTTTCATCATTTGATCATGACTCAATTTAATTCAGATAAGAGCAATATTGATAACAATGGGTTTGTCTCGTCGAGCCAATCAGTTTGACTATAAGTTTGTTGAAATCGGAGCATTGGACGCTTTTCATTAAAGTCTGAACATTACTTGTCTAAAATGTTGCTTCTAGATTCAAGTCACATCTTGAGATTTTTGCAGAATGATAGCAAGATATTTTCTTATTTAGAAATAATGCCATTAGGTGGTGTCAAATATGCTAATATATCACATAAATACTTCAAAACTAAAATTGTTTCTAAATCACCTAAAATAATGCATAAATTTATAACCTATGCTTCAATTTATTTCATGCCAACTCAATTTATGCAAGCCCTGCTAGTTAAAGTGCAAATCAATTAGACTATCTACTTAATCAACTTAATCAAAGCCAAAAAACACCCCGACTAACAAAAAAATGTTTTATCTTTGCATAGACTTTTCAACCTAATTTGAACAAGGAAAGTTCACATACATCCACTCAACTCCTATGTAATTACATGCCAAATCATCTATACTTCGAATTATACCTATATATCATCTTATCTATATATGGAAAGACATATTTCACATTTTTAAAAATTAAAATACTGATTTTTTTTTCTTTTTGTGATATGAATAATTTGGGTCGTATTAATATAAAAATAAATAAAGTTTAAGTATTAGTAGAGATATATTTAAATACATAGGAAATGGGTGGTATTTATGTAAATGTCCCTTCGAAAAAACTGTATTATAGTATTTAGCCTCTCTTAATAAAGCTTTATTTGACTCAGCATCGCAATAAACCTAAATCCAAATTAGACATCTTAAAGATCATGTAATGAAAAATATTTTATTGTGTTGGCGCCGTCTGATTAATTAATTAGATAAGATGAGCCTAAGGAAATGAGTATGCACTTTTCTTACTTAGAGCTATTTGGTTTCAAGCATTACCGAATAAAATAAAATATGTTGGATCTGAATTTGTCGGTGAGACACTCAAGGAATATAGTCTAAAGGGGAGAGGGAGGGAGGGAGAGTGCATAGTAATGAATCCTCCTATTTATAGAAGAACAGAGTACAATGTGTATAATTACAGGCTTACTCTTGCTTTAATGAGAACTTTACATGATATTTTATGTATTTACATAAATGATTCTAAGGTTCGTCTACTCTATTATCAATGGCCCTTGGTTCGATAAGACTCATAAGTCGGACTATGCAAAGTTGGGCTCTCGGTCAGCTTCTAATAATCTTCGGTTGGGCCGGAATTGAATCGGTCGGTTGTTTTGGCCCGACTGTTCGCTATTGACTTCTATATGAAGAAACACTGTCACCAGGATGAAACAAGGTTTTCAGGAAAAGAATGAATCGTCATAATCTGACAGTTAGCTCACCACTTGACAAAAGGCCCTTTAGGATGCCCGTGGAGTTTATCATGGTAAATTCCTTGACCTCCTGATGAAGAGGCTCTTGTGAGATGGCTAGCAGTGCTGAGATAATAGCTGGGTTGATTCATTCTCTCAGCTTGACATTGGTCTTGGGTTTGACGACCTGCGTCTGGTCCTCTTTGGTTCCAGATCTAAGCAGTCAGCACTTGGTTAATTAAGTTCTTTGATTTTCCATTGATAAAAATCTTGGTTTTCGTTTGTGGACCCTTTTGGTCATACTTTTCCGTCTCCTTCTCAGTCGGATTTCCTCAAGATTCATGTTAATGTATTTCAGATGTACAAACTAAATGAAGGTCGAATTTTTTTATGTGAGTTGAAATAAACTAAATGTAAAGTACCTGAGTGGGGAGCAATTTATTTACTGCTCTAAAAAATACATGCATTTCTAAAACATTTACTCTAAACTTTTGTATCTCTAAAGTACATAAACTTTCACAACATACAGCCCGACAGCCTATAAATGGTAAAAATTGTACGTGAACGACTTCATGAGCAAATTCATGAAGAAAGCCCTATTAATTTCAATAATCATAGCTGTCCCGACGAGGCCTGGAAGCAAGATCTAGCCGTCTAAACCACGGGTCATTGCCAGCTTCTTTTTTAGATTTTTAAATGATTTGCATTTAATTTCAACTAAGCGTGAACACCACGAAATTGACATATGTGCCACACAATTAATTCCCCTGCTTGCATGCCTAACACGTAAAATTTGATATTTATATTTATAAAATTATACATGAAAATATGTATTTAATACTATTAATAATTTTTATATAATATTAAGCATTTCAGTGATATGCATGTAAATATGAAAATGCAGATATTAGATATGTAAATACATAAAAACTGTACAGTATCAATACTTAAATACCCACAATTAGCGGCTTTTTAGTTTATGTATATATGTATGTATATATATATATATATTCATGCAAGAGCTTGAAACATCAAAATGCTATACATATAAATAGCAAAATTTAGGTGTGAGATATATAAATAAAAAAGATTTGTTGGCTACAAGTGTTTTATCACTTGACTTGATTGACTCAGTGGCAACTATTTATTTATACCAAGAAAAAACTGCAATTTATATATTATATGTGCACTCAGGCAGTCTCTCTCTCTAGTTTTGCATCACTTCTTAATTATTTTTTGGGAGATTTACACACATAGCACAAAAAGTATATATATATTTACATCTATCGCACCTAAACCTTTATATTTACATATAAAGCACCTGCGTTATCTAAAAAACACAAAAACAATACTCTTTTCCAAAGTTCTGATATAAAGGAGGAGAAAAGTAAATAAACACAATTTTTTTTATATATGTGTGAATTTTTTTGGGTCTCCATTACGTAGCAACGGTGCGGCAAGATATTCACGTCACTCTTCCATCTTGCCTTGTGAATGTGAATCGAGACAGATCTTGGGGTAGGCAATGAGATAGGGCTTCCCCTGCTTGAGAACTACTCCGGACATAGCTCTACTTGCGGACTAGAATAATATATCATCATGTGTGCTACATCACAGAAATTATTTCAGGGTTATTGAAGTGGAACGACGGGGTTATTGAAGAGAACCTCGTATATTTCACTTTAATAACCCAGAATAACCCTGAAATAACCTTCGAGGTATTATTTCAAGGTTATCAAAGTGTAACTGCAGAGGTTATTTCAGGGTTATTACTGAGTCCGCGATTTCACATTAATATTTCTTTAAGTGGGTCCGATATAGCGCATATGACGGTATATTACTATGAGTCAGTATGTAGAGCTATGTCCGGAGTCCAGATAGAAAATATTCCCCTGATCAAGATCTTGTTAACAAAGTTGAAGGAGTTTGAAAAATATAAATAATGAGTGTGAAACATGTAATTTGCTATATTTTGTGTGTTACGTATGTAAAGGATGAAACGTGAGTCAAGGAAAACACATGTCCGTTGAATATTCAATCAAGTAATTCCACGGACATCCTTCTCAATACGGATGACATCAACATAATGTGTGGGTGTAGAACCACAACGATCAGTCAAAGAGACCATGGTATCAACAATAAAAGTGATGATTAGAAATATGCATTTTTTTAAAAGTTGGGAGGCTTTACATATATATCAAATAAGTTTAATATATTTCCACATCTAACACCTAAGCTTTGATATTTACTTATATAAGATCTAAATCTTAATTATCACATAAAAATATCGCTCATATTAAATTTTTGAAGTTAAATATATTATTTTATGCATAAATTTTGATATGACTATGACACACATGTTAGATAAATAAATATTATTATTATATCTGTAAATATATAATAATTGTGTGGTATCTATGCAAATCCTTAAAAATGATATGAAGACTGTCATTGGGTGTGGAAAATGTATTTTTGAAAATTGGGGTTCAAATGAGAATTAAATGATATAAGACAAGTGTTTAAGTCAACATGACAGCCCATAAAGACGGGAAAAGACTTTGACCTGATGCTGA